TACTTTGATTCTGGTGTCTGGAGACAGGAAAAAAAGAAATGAACAGCTAAGAAGTAAACATGCTATAAAAAGACACAAAGAGGGGCGCCTGGGTGGCTCAGTGGGTTAAAGCCTCTGCCTTCGGCTCAGGTCATGATCTCAGGGTCCTGGGATTGAGCCCTGCATTGGGCTCTCTGCTCAGCAGGTAGCCTGCTTCCTCCTCTCTGCCTGCCTCTCTGCCTCCTTGTGATCTCTGTCTGTCAAATAAATAAATAAAATCTTAAAAAAAAAAAGACACAAAGATAATTCACAGGTAAGATGCAAATAGCCAACCAACCTATGAAAAAACATTCCATTTCACTAGGAATCAAGTTTGAATTAGATGGATACCATCTAACCAGGCTCCTGCATGTTCAAAATGACAAATACCTTCTTAAATAATACCCCCACCATTGGTATTGGAAAGAAATGTTATTTAGAGTTTTTTCAAGGAAATGGCTCCTCTCCTATGTTGTTGCTGGAATGGAATTTGGTAGTCTTCTGTGGGACAATTTGCCAATACACATCAAATACCTCAGATAATTTTTTTTTTTTTTTTTTTTAAGTAAGCTTCATGTCCAGAGTGGAGCCCAACACGGGGCTTAAACTCATGATCCTGAGATCAAGACCAGCTGAGATCAAGAGTCGGACACTTCATCTAGTGAGCCACCCAGGTTTTCCAGAACTATGTAAGTTCTATTCAGCATTCCACATCTAAGAACTTATTCTAAAGAAATAATCAGTGATGTACTAAAAGATCTCTACTCATCACAGTGTCATTTATTAATAGTGAACAACTGCAAAATCCAGAAATGCAGAAATAAGGGATTAGTTAAATTAAGGTGTATCTATATGCAGCCATTGAAATTATGTTGCAGAATTATGTTTTATTGTTATTTACCATATTAAGATCAGGAGACTATAAGAACTATGTACATACTATGTGGTTCCATTTATATGAAGTATTAACAAGCAAATCTCTGCCATTTAAGATCAGGACAGTGGTTACCACTCCTGGCCATGATGGAAGGGAGCATAAAGGGAGCTTCTGACATGCTGGATTAGTCGGGTGTATCAAAAATATATCAACCTATACATTTACAGGCCCTTTTCTGAAGGGATATTATACATCAATACAATTTTTAAAAAATACGAAGTCATTTCCCTCCAACATGCATTTGTAAGTATGTGCATTCAAAAACTGTCATAAAGATCATTTTCCCTGTTTTTAAAAATAATTTCAGGGAGCACCTGGGTGGCTCAGTGGTTAGGCCTCTGCCTTCAGCTCAGGTCATGATCTCGAGGTCCTGGGATCGAGTCCCACATCAGGCTCTCTGCTCTGCAGGGAGCCTGCTTCCTCCTCTCTCTCTCTCTCTCTGCTTGCCTCTCTACCCACTTGTGATCTCTCTCAAATAAATAAAATCTTTAAAAAAAAAAATAATTTCAAATTTTTCTACAAAGAACTTGTTTTACTTTCCTAAGAAAAAAATTTATATCATAAGGTCATCATAAAAAGTGAATAGACAATATGTAGGTGGCAAATTCATTCATATTTTCCCAGTTTTGTTCTCTTGATTCATTCCTTCAAATTACTAAGCACAAAAAAACAAATTTTCATGCCAGGAATAATTAAAACCCCACACCAACTCCCTGAGGACAACGGCATTCCCTTCTCTAATATGTAGTGTCCTGAGGGTCTGGCAACCTGCGAGGTTCTCCACTGACAGCAGACATCCAAAAGTCTATTCTAGACCAAGGGAGGCTGACTTCAAAACTGATTGTTCAAAATAGGCCCAAGGATTCTTAAAAATCAGACAAAAATTTCCACTCTCACATGCATGCTCTCAGATGACATCAATCCCAAATAAGCAGAAATCTTGGAAATGAAGGAAACATATAAATTCATGACAGATCTACTGATAAGGACAATCATATACACGACTAGCATGCCCAATCTCTAAAACCTCCCCAAATACCTCACTAGCCTACGTACCAGCCACCACTATCCTCTTTCTCCTCTCTAAAATCCGTGGAGTGTTTACTATGAATCAGGCACTTTTCTGGGTGTTGTATTAATCGAATCTTCACAATAACCCTATGAGATCATCATTTTATAAATAAGGAAACTGAAGCACAGAGACAAGATTACCATATAGGGATAATTTTGGATGAACCAGCCCTAGGCAAAATTGCAAAGCAAGCTCAATTTGTCTTTGGCCTTCTCCTTGCTCCCTGTCTCAGTTCAGCAGACTCTGAGGGTCTCAGAGCAGGGGACTCCACATCTAGCTTGGTACCTAGAGCTCTAAGCATTTGTTGAGTGGATATGCTTCTTTCCTTTCACTTTGGTTTCCTTCTCTCCAAATATCCTAGAAAGAGAAGACTTCTTTGGTCACATCCTTTTTTCTAAAAAAGGATGTTACATAATTCCTGGTAAGGTATTACCCAGTATGAATATGAGATATGAGATGTATCTTTATCTGTATCGTCCAGTCCAGTATCCCTGTCTCCACTCACCTCATGCACCCCTAGGTGTGCTGGATTTCACAAGAGACCTGCTTCCTCTTCACCAGTTGCTCTCCCGGACCTTAGTTCGGCTGTTTCAAGGGAGCCACTACATTAGAAAAACGCCAGGTGCTGACAGGACTCCTGCCCGTCATTCAGGCTCCTGCTCAAGGGCACCAATCTTCAGAGGGGCCTCCCCTGACCTCTCTATTTAGAACAGTAGCACACCATTCTCTGCCCTCTACATTGCTTTCTTGTTGTCATCCCACCTATCTCCATCCCCTAGGATATTAAAAAATTATTTTCTCGGTTCTGTCTTGCCTTCTAAATTGTAAACTGCACGACAGCGGGGATGTGATCTGGGTTACTGCTGTAACTCTATACCTACAACAGGAGTGGGCACAGAGTAAGCTCTCAAAAATTTGCTGAATCCACTACAAGTCAGAGGGTTTTTGTTTTTTTTTTTTAATATTCAGGGAAGGTAAGTCTCCCTTTAAAAAAGTACTGTTACAACTCAATGAGCCTGAAGACAAAAAGTCAGACAAAAGAACAAAAAGAAATCTTAAAACATTAATTCAAGGGAAGAAAACGTAACAAAATCTTGAGTTTTCTCTCTCACTTTAGGCTGAAGGCACAAGGGTAGAAATATAAAAGTACCCAAATGTTTTAGTTTGAATGCGGTGGTAACACGATGAGAAAAGGAGCTGCAGGAAATCTTGGCGATCCATATGCTTCTACTGCTTTTAGTTTTGCAAAGTGAAAGCTAGGAGTCTGCCAGGTTTCATTTAGAGTAAAATATCTAATTTATCATCTAACCAGATGCAAGGTATCCACCTAAGTCAAAGTTAATTTATTTAACTAGTACTGATTTCTTCACCTATAGCCGGATCCTCCTCATGGCCTATTTCCTAGTCTCCTTAACCTAGCTCAGGCTGACCTGATGGCAAGATAGGGGCATCATCCAAACACTGTGGGGATAGGAAAAACTTCACTGAAGCTACTAGACCGCCTACTAAGTTTTAAGCTTGAAGACAAACAGGTTTTTCTTGTTTATTGAACCCCAAAAGACTAAATTAAGGTCATAAATATCCTAAGAATGTTCTGCAAGTAAATTCTAGTAGTGCTCACAGAAAGGGAAAGAAAGCTGTAAAACAGAAACCTAATAGATGATAGAAAGCATTTTAGATCTGTGGCACATTTTCCTCTGCTCAGTTTACAAAAACCTAAAAAACAAAACCTTAAAAAAAAAAAAAAAGCCCCCAATCCTAACCTGTTAATAGGTTAAATGCTCTGTAACCACTGTGTTTTCATTAAATAAATTAACCGTGTTTTAGTTCTATTGGGGTCACACAAATAGCCTTTTCAAAGAGCTTGTGGTTTGTCTAATAGGAAAAGAGTCTAGGAGACTGTTACCAGTCTAAGGAACCCCCATAATAACGATGAGATTGCCTTGCGGATTGCTGAGTTAGTTTCTATGCCTCGCACTTAAAAAGTAAGGCACCGACCCATCTCAGAATTGCAAATATTCAATTGTGATTTTTAAAACGTTTGGGTAAGAAAACAGCTGTTCGGGGAGAAGTGGTCGGAAAAAACCTCGCCGAGTAGTTAGAACACAACCCAACTACTACCTCATTTGGAAAACAGCCTTCTAGGTTTCTTTATATGTCCTAGGGCAACCTCTTAGAAAAGAAAACAAGAAAACAAGGGGAAACCATTAACAACAACCACAACAAATCCGCCGGCACCTTCCGCGGACAAAGCATCCCGTGAGGCGGTGAGAGGCGCAGGAACCGAGCTCTCAGCCCTGAGAGAAAGCTCCGGAACAGCGCACAGACCGTCGGCGAACGGCGGTTTCGCCGGCGCCTCGCTAGCAGGCGCCCGGCCAGCCTCACAGGGACAGCTCGCTCGCAGCCCCATTTCACGTCCGGACGTGTCCACCGACCGACCCGCAGTTTCCAAAGAAAACACAATCCGTGTGTTCTTACGGCAAAGTTACCCTGACAGGCGAGACCCAGGCTTCCCCGGCGCGCACCGGCAACGCCCGCGGCACTGAGACCCGCACGTCCCGACCGAGCGGACCCTCAGCGGGGAGGGGGCAGGCCCGGCAGCCGGAGCCCGGCGCACGCAGCGGCCGCCCGCGGCTGAAGGACACAAGGTTTGGCTCGCGGGACGGGCGGGCCGGCGCCCACAGCTCGGACCAGGCCTGGCGGGCAGACGCAGGACTCGCGGCGGCCAGCACCGCTCTCCGGTCCGTAGAGGAAGGCGGGAGGGGAGAGGCGGCGGGACTCGGACGGGGAGAAGCCCCCGGAGTTTGCCCGATGTAATGCCCCGAGGATGAAAAGGGCCGTTTGTCTCCTCAGGGGACGGTCGCGCTCGGCCCGCTTCCCGCTGCGGGACTCCGCGGAGGAAGCCACCCGGGGGCTCGCAGTCGGCCTCCCGCCCCGCCCGGCCTCCCGGCCCGCCCGGCCCCCGGACCTCACCTGCCGGGCCCGCCCCGGAGGCGCGGGCGGGCGGCGGGGAGCGCAGCCGCAGCCAGAGGTGCAGCGCGGCCCCGAGCACACACGGGCACAGCAGCACCAGCCAGTTTCGCATTGGCCGCCCCCGCCCGCTCCGCCTCGCGCCCCCGTCGCGCGCCGGGCTCTCCCGCGTCCCGGCGGTGAGGGAGGGGACGTGCGGAGAGGAAGGCCGCGGGGCGGCGGTCGACGCAGGCGCGACCACTCCGGCTACGCCTGCCCTCGCGCCAGCCGCCGTCCGGACTCCTCGCGGTCCCGTGCCCCGCGCCTCAGATTCCTCCAACCGCGGGCGGCGGGGCCCCGGCGGCCCGGCCCCCCCCCCCCCGTTCGGCCTCCCCCCTCGGCCCCGCCCACCTCCCCCCACTCGCCCCGCCCCCTTCCCTCGCGTCCTCTCCCGCGCCCGCAGGCCAGCCGGGAGCTGAAGTCCTGCTCTGGGCCTACTCAGGGGACACACTCCAGGGGGCCCGAGGCTCGGAAACCACATTTCCCATAATCCCATGCTCTTGCTCGCGTCACTCGGCGATCGCGGAGGCGAAGCACGAAGGCACACTCGGAGCATGCGCGTCTCTTCTCGACGCCTACTAACCCGGGATGGCCGGAGGGAGGCGGTGCTGGGCAGCCGGTGCTCGGGGCCAGGCACAGGCCCGGAGGGAAGCACTGCTGGCGCGAAGGGTCGCCAGTCGCCTCTGATTTAAGAGGGATCGCGTGATGCTTGTTTTAAGCCACGCAGAGCTCGGTTCTCAGATGCTGGCTCCTGTGGAGGCGGGATCCTGCCGCAGTTTCCTTGGTCCGTAGAGCGGGCGGAGCGCGTCTTCCGCGGCGAATCGTCCCTCAAGTCACTGGTGCTGGGGCCCCGGACCGCTCCCTGCCCGGCTCCGTCCTCTGGGCGCTCAGGATGAGACCGCACCAGGGGCCGAACGGCGGGGGCGGCCGCGACCGTCCGAGCGACGGTCCACGGTTCCGCGTGCCCCGTCTCAGACCGGGGAGACGAGCGCGGGGATACCTCCTGCGGGACGGAGCCGTGACTGCGCCGACGCGGGCTGCGCGCGCCGGGCGGGAAGGACTAGGGGCCCAGGCCCTGCCCCGCGGCGTGCGGCGCGGCCCCGGGACTCGACCCCCTGGCCTGCCGGGCCGGACGCTCGGGGGCGCGGGTGGGGGCCGTGGCTGAAGGCGCCGGGCGGTCCCGGCCGGTGCTTGGAAGGCGGAGGGACGGGTGAAGAGCGCCACGCGTCCGGTGCTGTTCGTGGCTGGTTTGTTTAAAGTTTCCGCGAGTTGTGGCAACAGAAGGAACCATATCGTGGAGTAAAGTCTTGGTTGAAAGCCGCAGAAAATCCATCTCAAACAAACGTGAGGGAAAACGAATTTATTCAAGTAACTGAACAGCGCAGGAGGAGCGGTCTCAGGCGCTGTCAGGAGCCGGAGAAGGGGCTCCATCCCAGAATCCTGAGATCATGACCTGAGCCAAAGGCAGATGCTTAACTGGCTGAGCCACCCACGTGTCTCTTACTCCAAAAACTTATTTTTTTTTTTAAGATTTTATTTATTTATTTATTTATTTATTTGACAGAAACAGACATCACAAGCAGGCAGAGAGGCAGGAGGAGGGCGGGGAGTAGGCTCCCTGCTGAGGGTTCCATCCCAGGACCCTGAGATATGACCTGAGCTGAAGGCAGAGGCTTTAACCCACTGAGTTACCCAGGCGCCCCACTCCAAAAACTTTTAAAACAACAGTATTTATTATCTCTCACAATTTCTGTGGGTCAGGACTTTGAGAGCTAAGTTCTGGTTGAGGGTCTCTCATAAAGTTGCAGGCAGAGGTCCGCTGGGGCTGTGGTCACCTGAAGGCTTGACTGGTGCTGGAGAACCGGCTTCCTAGGTGGCGCACGTCTGTGGCTGGCAAGTCGGTTCTGCCTTTTGGCTGATGTTCTTCCCTAAGTGGGTTTCTATAGCGTGGGGACATTAAACCACAAGGTGCTTTAATGTCCCCATGCCATAGTGGCTTTCTTCCCCAAGAGCTGGAGATCCAAGAAACCAGTGCAGGGGCGCCTGGGTGGCTCAGTGGTTAAAGCCTCTGCCTTTGGCTCAGGTCATGATCCCAGGGTCCTGGGATCGAGCAGGGAGCCTGCCTCCTCCTCCTCTCTCTCTCTGCCTGCCTTTCTGCCTACTTGTGATCTGTCTGTCAAATAAATAAAAATCTTTAAAAAAACAAAACAAAAAAGCCAGTGCAGATTGCTGTGATGCCTTTTATGATGAATCCTTGCAAGACACACAGGGCACTCTTGCAGGATTCTGTTGGTTACACAGACTGGCCCGATTCACCATGGGAATGAGGGACCACAGAAGGGGGTGAAGACCACAGAAGCAGGGATCACCGTGGCTCATGTTGGAGGCCGGTTACCACAGTACCTTATGCAAATGGTTTCTCAACAGTTCGGGGTATTGTTAGGGGCGTCTATGTACTCACTATGGCCCCCGAATACCCCAAGACAAGAAAGAACAGTATTTTCTTGTGGGAAACAGAACTAGCAGGCTGTGATCACGGCGGGTCTTGGGCAAATGTCACCAAAATCTGTGTGTCCCTTCCTCAGAATGTTTGTTTCCATATAGCAGTAAGGAAGGAGGGTGCGTAATGTGTACGAATTTCTTGTTTGAAATCATTTGTTTAGAAACTACGCCGATCAGCTCTCTACATTTCAGTGAAAGAAATTGTGAAAGTAATAATCGGTTGTTACTAAGGGTGTCCTGTTTTTCATCTTGAAGAAGGATAGTAAAAGGGGCACACTCAGTCACATAAAATACTGTGCTGCCAAAGGGATCCCCAACTTCTGGGGTGGCAAGTAGCCGGGCCGGGTGTGGAGCACCTGGGCGAGGCCATTCCAGTGCCGGGCCCGGCCCAACGTTATGCCCTCTTGTGCCTGGCCAGAAGGTGCTCTGCCTCTGGGCACCTGCTGTGCACCTGCAGCTGCACAGGGCCCCTGGGCAGCAAATTTATAAAAATTAAGATAAAAAAGAAAGGTAGTAAAAGGCTTCTGTTGATGTCCTAAAATATTCATTTTGTGGTTAATGAGTTATAATGAGTTAACCCCAAAAGAGAAATAATCTCTCATTTAGGCAGATCTATTTATTCAACAAATCCCTTAATTATATGCCAGGCACTTCGGTAGTAGGTACTTGGGGTAAATCGATGAACAAAACAGAGATCCCTGGCCTGCAGTGGTGGGGGAGGGGACAGACTGGAATCTATAATGATAAAGAAATACATTATAGCAGTACATAGATGATGGTAAGTGTTAGAGAAAATATGAAAGTAGAGCAGGGTAGGGGAGTTGGGAATGCAGGACTGAAATGGGGCCAACTATAGTATCAAATAGTATTTAAACAACTGTTCAAAGTTACAATGAGCTCTAAAGGGAGGAATAAACAAAACCAGCCTAACCTATGGCATTAACTAATTAAGATGTTGTTCCTTCCAAATTCCAAAATGCCTTAACCTACAGCAGGAACTTTGCTGGTGTTCTGACATGCCTGTAACAGAGCTTCGAGTAACTTTACAGCATCTGTGGATCTCACCACAGTGGGAGCTGCTCTATCACCTGTTGAGAGAGGCAGGACCTTCCACTTACTTGTATACTTTTCTCTAATAAACTCAAGACTAAGGTGGGTAAAGATCGTAAGAGAGACAATGTGTATAAAGGAAAGAATAAAAATTTAAAAACCCTAGGGATGATGTAAACAGCCTGTGTAGTCAAGGTACTCATAGTTTAAGATATGACAAGTTTTTTTTTTTTTTGAGATTTTATTTATTTATTTGACGGAGAGGGAGAGATAACAATCAGGCAGAGCAGCAGGAAGAGAGAGAGGGGAGAAGCAGGCTCCCCGCTGAGCAGAGAGCCCAATGTGGGGCTCCATCCCAGGACCCTGAGACCATGACCTGAGCCAAAGGCAGAGGCTTAACCCATTGAGCCACCCAGGCTCCCCTAAGGTGTGAACAAGTTAATAGAGAATTAGGATTAGGGAAAGGCAAACTGAGATGGTTGGTCACCCTGGCTGCAAATCAGTTGTAATAAGAGAAAGGAGACACATATTGGGGCCTCACAAAGCAGGAGGTATCTGACCAACACCAAGTGTCCCAGAAGAAGTTATCGCTTGAAAACACAGGGCTGGGGGCTTAAAATCAAAGAGGCCAGTTAAGAAGGCCAGTGGGAAGTAAAGGCATTTAGGACACCTTAGGTGGGGCACCTGGCTGGCTCAGTCGGGGGAGCATGTGAGATTTAATCTTGGGACTGTGAGTTCGGGCCCCATGTTGGACTGCTGGGTGTAGAGCCTAAGTAAGTAAGAAAGAAAGGAAGAAGAGAGAGAGCACCTTAGGCAAAAAATAAATAAATAATAAAAATAAATAACCCCCAGGGGTGCCTGGGTCGAGCAGTCAGTTGAGCAACTGATTCTTGGTTTTAGATCAGGTCGTGATCTCAGGGTCCTGGGATCAGGCCCCTCCTTGAGCTCCACACTTAGAGGAGGGTCTGCTTGGGACTGTCTCTCTCTCTCCCTCTGAAGTCCACATTATAATTTTTTTAAAGATTTCATTTATTTGACAGAGATACCGTGAGACCAGGAACACAAGCAGGGGGAGTGGGAGAGGGAAAAAAGGCTCCCTGAGTAGGGAGCCCGATGCGGGACGGGACTCGATCCCAGGACTCTGGGATCATGACCTGAGCCGAAGACAGATGCTTAATGACCAAGCCACCTAGGCGCCCCCACATTATAATTTCTTATCTGGTCCCCTATTACTAGACACATTAGCACTTCTGTGCATATAATGTTACCCATATTTCAGGTAACTTCCTTTAAAAAAATTTTTTTAAAGATGTTATTTATTTATTTGACAGAGATCACAAGTAGGCAGAGAGGCAGGCAGAGAGAGGAGGAAGCAGGCTTCCTGCTGAGCAGAGAGCCCGATGTGGGGCTCGATCCCAGGACTCTGAGATCATGACCTGAGCCGAAGGCAGAGGCTTTAACCCACTGAGCCACCCAGGCGCCCCCCCCCCTTTTTTTTAAAAGATTTTATTTATTTATTTGACAGACAGAGATCACAAGTAGGCAGAGAGGCAGGCAGAGAGAGAGGAAGGG